GGAAGTGTTGGCATTGTTTCTGTAGGATATAAAACTGGATTAAGATATACTCACGTGCTATTAATTTAAAGTGATAATTTTTTATTGATTTAAACAGTAGAAAGAATTTGACTTACTTACTGCAAAAACGTGAACAGCGTATCGAAGTGTTTACCTCGGCACCCTTTCATTAGTTATGTTTCCACTATTTCACAAGTATCAAAACTATACTCGTCCCTAAGTTACACAGCTTTCCCTCAGTATTTTTTAATGCTTAGTATATTCAACATTTAAACCGACCCAGTCGGTGGTTTCCTCACTTCCAATAAGACACAATTTAAAATTTACACGCCGATGGGAAAGAATACCTCTCGTACGTTTAAAGAAAAAAAGTCAAATTATATATATATAAAGAAAAGAAGATTTGTCTGCTTAATAAGATGGAAAAGAAGAAAAACTATTAATATTAAAAAAACGATCAGTAGTCATTATATACCGCCCTTGCCTCAATTTTACCGTTCTACATCCCTGTCTTGTAAATAGTTCCTGCGGTTCACCCCCTTCAGGCACGTTGCCCTCTGTTATTATTCAGTGAGGAGAATCATAGTAGTTAGAGTCGCCACAAACGTGTGAGCCAACTAGTACGCACCTTTACTCGTACCGGATGTGGCGCTGTTGTTTTAGTCGTTGTGATGTCGCGGTCATTCTTGGGGTAAAGGGATTTAGGGCACACCTCCTCGTATGGTGCACACTCGATCGTGCCAGACCAAAAATTAGCACTGTATTTTGAGAGCACAAGGGTACTTCCGGGTGGGCAATCTAAAAATTCAGTGGTACCCTTCACACGCACCCGGTACTTAGAGGTGTCCTTGTTACACTGCACGTCGGCGCAAATTGATAGTACATTTTGGTCATCACTTAACCTGAGAAGAGTATCTGGGACGGCTGAAAAACATCGCGCAGATTCTGAAAACACAGAACCGGGCAGCATTCTTGTATCCCCATTTAAACACATAGTGTCGGGAAACGGTTTTATGAACGGACAGTAATCCATGAAGAAATCAGTTCCACCCTTTTTCTGATTAGGAAAGTACTGGAAATATGATGGCAAGCTAGTATGATATCCCATCATGCAGTCACCAATGCCCATCCGGTCTGATGTGCACTTGAACTCACTTATTGAAGGAATTTTACGGTCACAGAACATCGCCGGCACCTGCGACACACCGTTAATAACGCAGTTCTCATCAAACAGCACACAGCCGGCATTCTTACCCCATGCCATGCTTTCAGCATTGCCGTAGTTGCCTTTGTAGTAACCAGTGTCCTCCATCGCCGCAATGGTGATGGCGGTGTAGAAACCTGCAGAGTTAAAAGCAGACATCAAGTCATCCTTTGCGCTGCGCATCTTCCAGTGTGAGTTCACAACAGACGTGCTACCCGTTTCCTCCAACTCCACGTACGGCATGGTACTGCACCCATAATGAGCCCTCGCAACTTCCACCACTTTGGGCGAGGACAGAACAATGTTTGCTGGTTTATTGCGAACAGATACAGTATCAAGCATATTCCTTATTTTAAATAAGTTATTATCGAATCCCAAGGCGTGTAGTAACTCGTGCGTCAGGGTACGAGAAAAAGAAAGAATACCCATAGAGTTTATGGACCCAATATTGGCAGTACCCACTAAAGGGCGGCCGCTGGGGTCAGTTTTGCATGTTAGTGCCCAGGCAAGAACATCACGTACAGTTGGTCCAGCCGCTACGTACAACACAAAGTCGGTATCCGGTACACCGGTGGTGTGGTGAGACTGGGGAATCGTAAACTGAGAACAAAGATTCCCAGTTAAACGTTTAATACGGATGTTGTCTCTGAGTGGTTGCACCAGCAGGCGGTCCTTATGCATCTGTACCGCGTTGGGGATTATCTTCTTACGCATCAGTTGTTTCTTTTCATCAGTGAGAACATTATCGGAATTACATTGCATCATGGAGCCAGTGAAGTCAGGTCTCATCTCCCCAGGCTGTGTGCAGTAGCGGGAGCTGTCGTCGAGGTCCTGGGTGAACACCGAGATGCGGATCGGCTCCCATGAGTCAGGGGTTGCGAAGCTGCT